CCTTTCAAGACATTACATTTAAATTGCCCCGAGAAGCGAAAAACGCAAGACTGAAGGAGCTACAACGGAAGCCGCAGAAAAGAAAAGAAAGCTCAGTTTGCATAAAATGTGTGGAATTTAAAAAAATGGTCGATCGCTGTGCTAATACGAATTAGCAAGGTGTGGAGAAACAGCATCGATATATTTGACAAAACATTTTAAAGAAGTTGATAATGTAGATGGCAAAACTGGAAGCATTGAATATAATGCAATATTTACGAAAACGACTCATGGAGGGAAGTGGTTAATTCGTAACAAAATTAGTCCTCAGTCTCGGCCAATTCTCCTGTTTTCCAAATTTATGCAAATGAAACACCATATCAAAATAAACCGTCTTTTTATAACTATCAAACCTACCTGGAAATGGAATGAATGATACAAAAATATCCTATCTGGAACAAATACGATCGGTCAGTGGACTTCTAAACAAGCAGAAAACAGAGGTCTACCTACTGCCTCAAGAAAATTGACAGTATGATTCTAGGCTAAGAAAAGGGGTTGGAGAACAACAGTTAATAAAAATTACTGGACATTTGAGCACCAAATCAGTTACACAATATCTCCAAATGGATAATGACCACCTACAAATAAATGACAAAAATGAAAAAAAAAAAACAACCGCAAAAAGTGACACATTTTAACTGCACATTTCATTGTAAGTAGTTCTTGCAACTTTTAGAGAACAATGGTGATAAAATGAAACCCCCATTTACTTTGAGTCGGGAAATATTCAACAAAACTACACTGGTGCAGCAAAATCTTCTTATATGGACTTATATGGACTTATAAAAACTATATAAAGATTTATTTATTTTCATAATGGAACAAAAAACTCATCCAGTTATGATGCAAAATGATGATTTTGTTGCAATTGTGCATTTACACACATGAAATTACTCCAGATAATTCGACATTTAATATCTACTCTACTTTTGGAAATTATATCGCTTATTTTCGAATAGAAGTTTGATTGAAAGCAAAAAATATGGAATTTCCAAATTTGCTGGGGTTTGTTTCTAATACTTCCACAAATTAGTAGCTCGCATCTTCAGGAGCGAACATTCGCAGTTCTTCTACTGGATTTTCTCTCAGTGTAAGTATAATATTCTCTCAAATTTAAACCCCAACAAGCTGTAACACAGGCTTGGCTCGTACCACAAGAATCACCCATCGATTTATGTCTGCGCTTACACTTATAATTATCAATATGTCGTTAGCTTAAAAAATTATACTCAACTCAAATATCAAAGAGGTTTTGACAAAATCCAACTAGTTTCCTTGTAATTACGACCTCAAATTATGAATGAAGTTATGGACTGTCCAATTTTAAATTTAATTCGCTTTTTACAAACTAAACAAGAATAACAGACAATACATTGTTGATTACTGTTTTCCTGATAGTTTGTCGCGGATGTTATTCATATAAATCAAATTAACTACCGAGCCGCAAAATGTCCACATACTGTGAAACATTTTTGCTCCCGTAGAAAAATGTAAACAAATACATTTGATTAATCTGAGAAAAAAATATACACAAATAAAAACCACCACAAATTGAGTAACATCATTCATGGCGAGCATGTTCTTGTATAATACTAAACCAAATCAATAGAAAACATTTTGCGCAAAAATTCTAGGTGAAAGCACTCACTGCTACTTTGACCAACTGAAGAATACAACACCTTACGTAAACAACTATTCAGCTGGCTTCAACTTGTAAGAAGGTTACCAATTAGTATTCCTTAATTAGCAGATGTCTGCAATGAATGTGATGCACTAATTAGTCCAATTCAAAGTTATTAAGAAAACCTGTCATTGGTATTTTCTCACCAAAAATTAAAATAACCAATTGCCCGCCCTCAATGAGATAACTTAATTACGTATTAGTCATTCGTTTAACTGCTGCTCAAAATTTAACTAAATAAAACATAAAAATCGCCTGGTTCACACGTGCTATAATGAGCCAACTTTTAGTGCTCTAAAAATGGGCCTCTATTAGGAACGAAAATGCTCAGTTAAGGAGTGAATGGATCAAAAAATGCGTTTTTTAACCGGCTGTCAAAGAATGGAACGGTTCAAGCGCCCAAAAGTGCTGACCCAATTTTCCTTTTCCGTTTACAAAATCCGAATTTAGAAGAGGCGCCGAACACCAAAACGTAAGGGCAGGATAACTTTTTCACGGTCGACACATCCAGATTTGGTCACAGCGACTTATCAGTTTATTGATTCTCGATTTGTACTTGGAACTACTGACTTAAAAGAAACCAAACTGGGGCAGCATAAATAATGCTGGACTACTTAGTTTCAAAAAAATCAACGTAACTGTTTTTGCTATCGATTGGAAAAACCCGATGCCATAGAGGATAATTTTGATGGATTCTCTTCCACCACGGTGATATTTCCTCAATGTGGATTCTTCAACCAGTTATTTGCCTGACAATATTACAATTAATATCTCATAGTTGGAGTATGGAGTAAATGGAAGCCTTGGTGGAATTTGAAAAAAATTCAAAAACCCAATACAAATTAAAAACTATAAAAGTATCAACAACAACTCCAGCGAAACTCCAAAACCTATAGGGGTTTTAAATTACTTTCGAGTGTTTTCGGATCAGTTCTGTTGAGTAAATCTGGCGAATTTTTCAACATCATATGGAACTTGGAAGAAACAACCCAACCTATGTATGTCTTAAACCCATGCAGGCTAATTTCTCTGCTAGCAGAAAAGAATTTGCATCCTTTTTCATTTGCTTGATAAAAAATGACCCTGCAAAGTTCAGGCTAGAAAAGCTCCCATAATGCCGAAGAAGACCTTCAGTGCAATTTTTTTCAACCGAAAAGAGAGAATCAACTTGTAAAATTTAACCTTGCTTTTTAATTCCGTGAAGTCCAAATTAGATTTGTCATCCTCTTTGATACGGTTTATTTGCAAGAAACATGATCGGTTAATTTGACCCGAACCGTGAAGATCCATGTTCTTCATCTCTTTTCTATTGACGACGAATGGAAACGTAGAAATAACACAAAAGTATTTGGTTGTTTTGGGTTTTGGGATTTCAAGACAGTTATTTTTTACGTCTTGGTAGTTAGAAAGCTCAAGCAACTGCAAAATAAATCAGTATACTTCTTAGATTCATCGCTAACTAGTTGAACAAATTCACGCACATGTACTTGACCGAGACAAGTGCTAAATACTGTTATATCCGTCGGTATAAGCGATTGTTACTGCCGGTCATTTAGCTAAATACAATCATTTATTGAGGTAACATGCTAATAGCAGTAATGAAAGATAAGTGTGTGCTTTCTTCCAAATGGTCATGTAATTTTTATTATCAATAACTAAGAGAATGCTAAAATATTCCCTTGTGAGACGAATTTCGTTTGAATTCCTCCAAATATAACGTTGAAACGAGATTGATCCATTCAAAGTCCGCACCCAAATAGCCATACATCATTGTATGAGTGTACACGATTATTGTTAGAAGTCGTCCGAATCGTGCTATGAAGAAGTAGCTAATTAAACAAACGGTATCTCCGGAATAATGCTCCATGAAAACCTCTGCTGCTTGCTTGTCATTTTTTATAAATGTTCCTTCAAAGCTCACGAAAAATAAACTTGTCATGCTTGTAAAGTTAACGAACGCATGATTTTAAAGCGTCAAGTCATCTCGAAGAAATGATATTCACGTGTGATGGTGGAGATGTTAGATAATTTGTGGTTAATCAGTTTTATTGCTTCAATGCTTTATTAACTACAGAATGGTTTTTCATGGTGGAAAAATGCGATCTTTGACAAAAATCGGATGGTTTGCTAATGTAGATTGATGGCTCCTGGCTTTAATACAAAAAGAGAGTGAAGCGATGGTAATGCAAAAACGAATGTTTAAAAATCAGTTAAACAATTAATTGCAAAATAAATCAGTGCGAAATCCTTTTGATTTTGTCCGGTTCATTTTGTTGTTTAAATTATCAAACAAATATATTTACCCCAAAATAATATGTTCAAAGATGCTTTTGTTGAAATTTATAAAATAAAAAATATCCAATAAAGGGTAAATGTTTCGACTCGAACTATCGTTTTCGCCACAAAGCAACCAACTCATTAACAGCAAAAGACCAAATACAGCATAAATAGTGCAAAATCTAAATTTGTCTCAAACCTCCACTCTCTGGAAAAGATGGAATTGTTAGCCGAAAGTCTATGAGGGGTCATATAATATAAAATTTTAAAAAGACGGCTTAAAAAGCCTTGATTTCTTTAAGCAACTGATCGAAACATTCAAATTTTATTATTGGCTTGCTATGAAAGTAAGAAATTAATAAAAATTATAAACATGGACTGTAGTTGAAACACGCGTTTCTAGTCAGAGCTTTTTATCTTCAGTCACCTTAGGAAAACCGACTAATAAAAGAATCCATCAAGATTGAATTTCATGTAAAATCGCATCCGAAGACAAAGTGCATCGCAAATTTTCAAGAAAAAATAATTAATTAATAAATCACGGTAAATAGTTTCGATTGTTAATCTGCGCGCAATGCATGTAGGTATCTTCAAAGATGCCTGATTAATGTGCATTTTAAACCAATAACTTTTGCCCATATTTAATGTCATAGTCATATACCACTGCGCTTAATCCTGTAGAGCGGCTGTTTTGCCTTTTTTCTTCACTTCATCCTCGTACGCTTGCTAAACCAGAAAAACATTAATAACTATTAACCACCGAAACAGGTATTCCGTATGGAGAGGAATAAAATAATAAATTAAAAACGTTTTTTATTCGGCGTTTTAACCATTTAAGTTGAAATTGCGAGTTAAGTTTTTGCGATTCGGAAGAAATTAATTGTTATATACGTGCTATACTGCTGCGAGCTGATGCACATTTATCATGACCGCAGATGACCACAGTGAAAGGTGGATATTTTAGTGTCGCTTGGTCGGAAGACTGCAGGTGGTGTTGCCACGATAGTTAGCTGAGATAATGCGGAAAAATCAACGAATATTCCGTAGCGTAGACTGATAAATTGCCCGGTTTGACCAAAATGCGAAAACTTACCGTCCATCGAAACGTAAACGGCAGAACCAGGCGTCCTCTTTCTGGATCGGCAAGAGTGAAGGTGTCGCGTCCCAACACTTGGCCGGACGTATTCCCGAAGGAACAGGATCCCGTGCTTGTCACATTACTCTGATATTCCTTCAGGCACAACCGGAAAAAAGTCTGGCACGGAGTGGAACAACGGCTAGTTATTGGGGAACGTTGCCCGCCCCCACAACATTGTCCAGTCGATAATTCGCTACGCGGATTGGCCATCTCAAGTACTTGCAACTCGAAAATGCCGGAGCCATGCGTGCACTGAAACAAACAAAAAATCAGTTATTTACAACTAGTTTTAACATTTTTTTGTTTACATATTTGAGATACAAATGGTGACGGAAAGTGCACACTTTTCAGAAACTCAATCCTATATCTATAAATCCAAGATAGAGGTGCCACATCTATCACTGCCATCTTTCGTTTCACAGAATCTATCTTCAATAATAACTGAAATACCCGCGATTTACAACGGAAAATTTCCACCCTGTACATGAAATACAAATTTAATCTTGAACTGTAAAGCTGCACATCATGTACCTATACTAGTTTAAGGCGCTCTTAACATCTAACAGCTTTCAATGTTTAAAATCAGCTGTTGCTTCAGCTCTTTTTTAACAAGTTTGTTAAATAGTCCGTTGCATGAACACTGAAAGGTGAGTGAAAGCTTTTTTCAACTAAAAATAATTTTAGCTAATACACGCCCAATAAAGATCACACTAATCAGTAGAATTAACAGAGTATCAAAAATATATCGACTTTATCCGAAAACAGCATGAGCAAAAAACCATATGAATAAAAGTAAGAGTAACTGCAATATTTAGACCGGAAGTTTTGCAGTTCAAAGTTGTCATTAATAAACACAAGCATTAATTCAAACTCTCTTTACGGTTTAAATCACATTCCCAAATACCTAAATAAGGGAATAATGAATATCATTAAATGCGAAAGGCTGGTTACTGGTTGTACCGACCAAACCATTCTGCCTAAGCATTTCCCTTGGCTTCATAATCTGAAACAACTTTATAATGAGCACCGTCATAATAAAACCTGCGTATTAATAAATAAACGTGTCTTTAAGGCAACAAATAAATAGACGGTGTATGAAATTATTATCGTAAACTGTGAAACCACAAAGGTAATAAAGCTTTTGAATGGACTTATCAACGCACACGCGTGGGAACACGTATCGTCGACAGTTGCATGAAACGGAAGAGAATTTCAGATTATTTTTATACATTTGCCAAGTGAGTTTGAGTCGAAACTGAAATTTCGGGACCTAATCAATCAGCTCGCAGTTACGGAGAATTAAATCAGTTCCGTCTCGAATTTTTCAGAAATATTCTAGTGGAGGGCATAATTCACTTGGGCGCATATAAACGGACTTGATGATGATCTCCGGTCGAGATAAAAAACGACATGCTTTCGAAAGAATGTCAGCCAGAAAGCTCATGCACCTTAAAACCGAGTTTAACAGCCATTAAAATTCATTTCTAGGAAAGGAGCCAGTTAAAAAGTTCAGATTTAATTATAAATTAAGCGCCAACACTAATATCTGGCCACTTATGGCTCTTGAATGTAAGAGACCATTTACTGACAGTATTTCTAGATGCATTTACTTTGCTGCTCGAAAAACTCATATTGAAGAGAGAAATTAGTATAGGTATTCCATACCTAAACCTCAACTGAAATAGTAGTTTTATATAATCAAAGTAGTTATTCGTATACAGGAGAAACTGGTGATTTTCTACAGTTTTTATACCACCGTCGAAATAAATGTATTTCTCATTTTCAATTCTTTTCCACGAAGACCTAAAAGAATGAAAAACTCCCCAGTTTCACGCAGTGGTCGCAAAAGCCAAACTCTTTTGATAAGTGAAAATCATTTCGTTGATAAATCTAAGAAAGTCTAAGAAAGCTACAGTTTAAAACAGTAAACTTTCAATTATTTAATTCAAGGTTGCTATCCTAACCCGAGCAGTTTAAAAGTGCAGTAGTGATGAATCTCATTTTTCCATCTTCGGATAATCAAAACCATTTTCGAGTTCTCGATCACAGTACTCCATTAAGAAAAGCGTTTCATCTAGCTGGAAGGTTGTTCGTCTATAGAAAATTTTATAATATTTCAGGCCCTCGAAACCTTCACTTCATATTGCTTTACCATCTATCTGGTACCGGTATCTTTAGATGATGGTAGCGGGTTTATAGGTTCCATGCATATAATCATAATTAACTGACTTTTTGGATCATGCAACACGCAACACGCAACAATAATTTCTAAGCCCGCCAAACCCAACCCGAGTAGCTCACGATGAAAATTTTCCTGTGGACGTTGTTTTTAAACAATTGCACGTGAAAACTCACACCCATTGAATTGTAATATAAAATTACAAGTTTTTGGCACGAAAACAATGTTGAAAATTTCAACAATAGCCATGTTAACTATTCGGCTGTTGGATGTTTAATTCTAAAAACGCTTAATTGTATGGTAATTGGTGTTGGGTTCCTAATTAAAGCCAGCCTAACAGTTGAAAGGGAACAGTTTTCTTAATTAATTAGCAAATTTGGACGTCAGGCCTAAATATAGTAGTTAACGTGTTTAGAAATTCATTATTTATCAAGGGGCAGTAAGCAGCGGAGCGGAAGAATGCTACTGAAATTTATTATGAGAATAAACGAAAAAAAACAGAGAAATTATCGTTTTATACAGTAAATTGCCCGGTTGTGAACAGGGCGTGAAATGATTCAATACTTACGGTCTCAAGATTTGAACAATAACAGCTAAAAATAATCAGCGATCCGTTGAAAGTTCATTATACAGGGTAATTCACAACCTTATGGACACAGAGCAGAGCCGTGTTTTGAGGCGAGGAGTTTCTATTTAAGTTTTTTTTCTCAGGCCCATGGTTAACGAGATACAGGGTACAAGAGCTTATGCCTCTCGAAAAAAGAACACCCTGTAGATTTTCACAACCAGTCTCCTTAACTACGGCTCAACATTAGCTCAAACTTTAACACCCAGTATCTTGTTAACCATAAGCCTGAGAAAAAAACTTAAATGAAAACTCAATTTGTTTTGAGATCCTCTACACGCCCCTACTCTGTGTCCATAAGGTTGTGAATCACCCTGTATAATCCAGTTTCAAATTAGACTCAAAATCACTCACCAGCTCAGAAAATTTAAGTAAGTTTAAGCTGTTGAAGATGAGGAAACGGTTATTTAATTTTTTGGTATGAAGTGAAGTAAAAGTTAGAATTTGAAAGGGGGAACCCAAAATTATATGAATACTTGGAAGATCGGGTATTTCACTATTCATAAACTGAGATAATTGTTTATGCAATCATGTATTAAATTGTTTTGCTTTTGCGGTATCAAAAGTATCAAATAAAATTGATATACAAAATCTACTCCAGAAAAACCCTTTCCTTGGGGGTCACCAAACGGTAAAAGTACTTACTTGTTTCGGAAATTTGACAGTAATATCCAATCTCGTACTCCAACTTATTCGTTTCAGTTAAATTCCTTTAAATAAGGGCAAAAAATTGAAACAATCAGAAAAAGGTCAAAAAAAACTATTAAAGGACGTGTTTTGTCGATTTCGTTCACATTAGATGACAAAAGCAAATTGCTTTTATTATTTATCAAAATCATAGTGCCTAGAAATCCAGACGTAATAATCAATATACGTATATCTACAAATTTGAAAAAAATGGTCAATTTTTCATTTTTAAAATCGCATTTCGAACCCCAAGTATGTGTTACAGTGTGGCCTGTCAAGCAAAGTAGTGTTATTTTTAGGTATTGCCAAATATGTGCTTTTATTGGAAAACACTCTGTATAATCGGCTCTTCGAACCCATGCAGAAATATAAATGCACAGCGCCAAGTGTTTAAAAACTAATATTTTTTCGATGGGCGAAATCTGATGAATGACAAAATATCATTTTTCATTTCATTTTTTTCTCCTTTTTGATTGAATTTTGTAGAACAATGAGCTTTCGGCATCATCAGACTGTAAATAAATACAAGTGCAGCTTTCTAGGGTGTTGATTTCAGGCTGAACCCAGCTGAAAAGCAATAGGTTCGAAACCGGTCCTGAGAGTGCCTGAGATTAACACATCCCGATATCCGGATCTACTTGCACCAGCGTCTCATTTTGTTTGTTTCCAGCCATACGGGTTGAGACTGTTGCCAATAATATTTTTTCTCATGCCGAAATTCCTCACAATGCAACAGGAAAGCTATCTAACAAGACAAATCGATAACCACAATGGTTATCTAACAATTGAACACCGGCGTCCGACCCATTGATGGGCTCGGAAGATGACAAGAATAATGTAGGTATTAATTCATCGGGAGTAAAACAATGGAGTTATGAGATGCGACGTGGTCGATAACGCTGAGATCTTCCTTATTTTGCCTAAGAACGTTTGTTGAACAGAGAAAATAGTTTAATTTGTATGTCCAGCATGGCAGTGCCACGGAAACACCAAAACAATGCCCAGATCTCTCAGAATAATGCCGCTCTGAAACTTTCTACAGTGGAACTCGTATTCATTACAAAGATGACAGACTTACGATAATGATGCATTTTGCATTGTTTTAAAGGTTTCTCGAATTTATGATGATGGCAACTTGCTAATAAAAAGCAAAAATTGCAATGACATTATTAAAAGCGTAACTGAGTTGAACACTGACAAATTTTTCTGCGACATCTTTCGGTTCATCAGACGATTGTTTCCATGATTCTATTAAAAACCGGTCCGTTGGGGAAAAAATCTCAGCAAAAACCTATTGGTTTTGTTCTCGTGAAATGCGAAATAATAGGTGTGTTATTAAATATCCCGGCTGTGTAATTGGCTGAAATAAAACGAGTGTGCAAAATAGCATAGTCAGTGCGAACTTTGTGCAGATAGTTCGTACGATTGCAACTCGCCAGTATTAATAGATAAAGTAGCTGGAAATTGACCAGCCAGCAGACAACAACTACTTATTCTAACAAACATCCACCTGGATGGAATTTTATTCTTTGTTTATTATACTGGCTGAAAATGTCCTCAATCGAAGTGTACCTGAACTTCTAGGAAAACTCGTTTGTATTATATTAAAGTGAGGTGGAATTTCAGGGATGGTTTCATTGCTGGTCTACTCTCAAAAATATAAAAATAGGATTGTACTCACCTCATACTAGATAAAATTACTATCAAACAAAATACTAAATAAACTGCAGGTGAATAATGCCTCAATTAACTCGTGTTTCG